CCATTTACTCAAGCTCATAAAATATGTTACGCGCTGCTTGCCTCTGACGTTCTTCCCCTTAATCTGTCTTGTGTGTATCAGATTTTCCAAGCCCTCCTTCCTCATTACGTGCATCCAGAAATTTCAATTGCTTCTTTCTGATGTTAAGTGAGAGTTTTCTTTTTGTTTCCATTCTCTCCGAAACCTCGTCGTTACTCATGTGTTCGGTCCACGATATCCCCAACATAAAACTTCTGTAGAACGACATTTCTGCTGCTTCAAGTCTCTTCTTCATCTTTGAAGAGATTGTTCAGCATTTTCTGCCATACAGGAGGGCAGTTGTCACGTAACAGTTCAGTACTCTTTTCTTTGTTTCTAATGAAGTTTTTGTTTCTTAATACTTTTTTTTAATACTATTTAAAATTTTTGTACATGTTTGATTTTAGCATCCCCGATTTGTAATTTGCACTTTGTGCACATCCTTTTGCATATGGCCATGCATTCTGTCTTCTTTTAGTTTATACTTAATCCTTTCTTCTCGCTTTCCTTCGGTAATTTCTATAGAATCTTTTGTAGTTTCCTTTCCGTGTCTGTTACCAACACTGTGTCATCTACATAATGAGCTTATTGGCAATTTTTAATAAGAAAGGCTTTAAGTGATAAAATGCGATGGAAAAGAAAGTATTTACAGGGATCAGTAAAGACGATGCGTGACGAAAAATGAATAAATAAATAAATAAAACAAAGAGACTAAAATGAACGTATGTTACGTGCTGTTTTCCTCTTTCCCTCAATCTGCCATGTGAGTATCAAAATTTCCAAGCCCTCCTTCCTTATTTCATGCCCCAGAAATTACAACTTTCTCTTCCTGATGTTAAGTATAACTTTCCTTTTTGTTTCCATTCTCTCCAAAACTCGTTGTTGCTTACCTGTTCGGTCCATGGTACCCTTAGCATCTTTCTGTAGAACTACATTTCTTTTCCTTCAAGTATTTTCTTCATCTTTGAGGCGATTGTCCAGAATTCGCTGTCATACAGGGACAGATATCACTTAACAGTTCTATACCTTTTTCTTTGTTTCTAACGAAATTTTCCTGTCTCTTAATATTCTGCTTAGCTTTAAGAATACGTCTTTGGCCATCCCAATACATCTTCGGATCTCTGTGACGCACTTTCCTTCCACTGTTAAAACAGTTCCCAGGTCTTTAAATTTTTGTACGTGTTTGATTTTAGTATCTCCAATTTGTAATTTGCATTTTGTGCTCATCCTTTTGCTGATAACGATGCATTCTGTCTTCTTGTAGTTTATACTTAGTCCTTTCTTCTCGCTTTCCTTAGCTGCTTTCTGTCGGAGCTTTTGTAGTTTCCTTTCTTTATCTGCTATCAACACTGTCATCTGCATACCTTATGTTGCTAAGATTATGGCGGCCAATAATGAATCCTAATTCTCTCAGAATCCCCCCCACACTGTATAGGTTTAATAAATCCGGTGAGAAGACACAACCTTTCTATTTCGATATATCAGTTGATCTCATTTTCTGCCCGTAGAAAACAAGCTCAATTCCGGAGTCAATCTACTCAGAAATATAGAAGGCCGTGCCGGAGGCTCCGCTTGTAGTTAAATAGCAGACTGGGCTTCCCTGTGTGGGAGCCAGTCAAAAACTTTGCACCCAAATCCGTGCAGAAGGTAATGGAACAGAACGAGATTTCCTATGAAATCGTAGCAGTCCACATGTCTTTAAAAAGGAAGTTGTTAAAAGTTATGTTTGCCTATGTCCTAAAAGAACATAACATTTAAAAAAAATACACGAGACTATAGTTTTCATATAAAAAAGAAAGGAACCTGAATCGGCAATATTATTGGTCTTGACCTGGTGTTTCTGTTGCTTCAAGTCTCTTCTTCATCTTTGATGAGATTTCCAGTATTCGCTGCCATACAGGAGGACAGATGTCACGTAACAGTTCAATACTCTTTTCTTTGTTTCTAGCGAAATTTTTCTCTCTCTTAATACTCTGCTTAGCTTTTGGAAGGCATCTTTGGCCATCCCAATACGGCTTCGGATCTCAGTGTCGCACTTCCTGTCCTCTGTTAGAACACTTACCACATATTTAAATATTTGTACTTATTTGATTTTAGTGTCCTTGTTTTGTAATTTGCATTTTGGCCTCATCCTTTTGCTGATAACCATGCATTCTAACTTCTTGTAGTTTTTTGTAGACTCCCAATTCTCTCAGAATTGCCTCACTGTATAGGTTTAATAAATCCGGCGAGAAGACACATCCTTGTCTTACACCGATTTCTATTTTTGTATATCTATTGAACTTATTTTCTGTCCGTATGCAGACGGTTCGTATCTTACAATGGTTGATTTATCAGAGAAGTGACTCCTTGGTGTTATCAACCTGGAAAATGATTCAAGTATGCAATATCGTTGGGAAATACCTGAAAACTATACCGGAGTGTTAACCCAAGCCTTGTGAGTGAAGTGGAACCTTTCACGAATCCTCGTGTTTTTCGCCTATTAGATTTGCTCAGCTATTAACCCTTTCAGATTATACGTTTCGTCTCAGAAATAATTGATAATTGCACAGCAGTATAAACCACAATTTGGCCCTATAGCTTCTGTAGAATTGTGTCAGAGCAAGCGTCTGCAACAGAGATTAGCTAACCACTCTAGTAGATATATATACTCGACAAAATATGACTCATATACAGGTTGGCAATAAAGTCACTGATCAGTTGGTTACAATAACAATTAAAGCAAAGCAATTAATCAAAGTTCAGAACATTTAATAGTGAAATGGTTCTGGTTAATTCTGGTTTTGCTCTCAAAGAAATTTGCAGACTTAAGCCGTCAGAACCATTTGTGTCGTGACATTGGTCGAAGTGTTCTCTCATGTTGTAGAGAACGCATTGAAACTGGTGTCTTGCAGTTCGAACAGCATCGGTAATTAATTTACTATTGTTTACCATAGCATTTTATTTTTATTAACCAGAACTATTTTAATAATAAATTTCTGGACTGTTGATTAATTTGTTTGTTTTAACTGTTATTATAAGTAACTATATAGTGACTTTATTGCCACTTTCAGTCTCTCTCTCTCTCTCTCTCTCTATATATATATATATATATATATATATATATATATATATATATATATATATATATATATTTCGATTAAGGTGCAGTTCAATTTATAATTATATGAATCATCCATACAAATACAGGTTCGGGGTTAGTGTACCTTATTGAAATTGTTTTATGAAGATGTATTCTCGCCATTTAAATCATTAACCTCTATATTTGTTTTTTTGTATAAATGATTCATGTATTATATATATTATATATATATATATATATATATATATATATATATATTGAACATTGAAGTCAACACTCAAGCCTGACGATTGCGTCTAGCATGAATCAGCCTGTCGCCTCTGAGTGTTGACTTCAATGTTCACTTTCATATATATATATATATATATATATATATATATATATATATATATATATATATATAGGGTGTTTCAAAAATTTGATATCCTTTGAGATGTAAATATCACAGAAAGTACATGATTAAGGCAAATGAAATTAAAAAGTATTAATGTTGAAGATCATAAGATTTATTCTTCCAAATCTGAATAAGAAATTCAAAAGCATGTGGATTATGTGAACGATTTTACAAATGTGAAGTTTGTGGTCGTCCGGATCCTTTTGCTCTGCACAGACAGCCTTCCTCTTTGAACTTTTTATGCCATCTCCAAATCTGCATTCCTGTTGGTGACTTTCTAGAGAACTCTCTCATAAATGCACGCTGCACAGTCTTGTTTGACTGTGTTCTAGCAAACTCCAACACACAAAACGCCTTTTCTCTTCTAGTAAATAGCATTTTTATACCTGTAAAGAAAAAGATTGAAGATTAAAGAACACAAAAAATACAAATAAGAAAAACACAAAAACATAAAGACATAAAAACATAAAACAAACATGAAACATAAAGATGCTATTAAAATTTGAAGTCATTTGAAGGAGATCTAACAAAGTTATTAGATTGCGAAATGATATCAAATTTTTTGAAACACCCTGCATATATATATATATATATATATATATATACACGAGGTGGTATCAAAAAAGACCTAGGATAGTGACGTTTGAAAAAAATATTTACCTAAGTTTTAGCTTCTTCAAAATAGTTACTCTGCGATGCAATACACCAGTGCCAGTGTTCCTACCAAATTTGGAATCCATCTGGATTTTTTTTTTACTCTAAGTGAGTCGTGTACCTTTTGCGATTTGTTCTGGATCTCAGCCACGGTGTTAAAACGGTGACCTTTGAGCTGCATTCCCAGAACAGATGGAATTCCGCAGGTGCTAAATCTGGCGAATAGGGCGGTTGCGACGCAATGCCTTTTTTTTTTTTTTTTTTTGTTTGTTAGAAACTGACGAGTGGGGAGAGCTCGGTAAAAAAAAAAAAAGGAAATTGTGGTCGTAAAAAATCCATTTCTTCGTGCTCCCCATATCCGGTCGCTTTCGCCGAACGTATTCCCTCCCTCAAACGCCTCAAAAACGTTGTAGGAGTACTCCCGGATCATTCTGGTCCTGGGTAACGAAGTCTCCATACGCAATCCTGAGGATGCCAAAAAAAAAAAAAATGAAATAAAATAAAAACGATGAGCATGCTCTTCCATGACCAAATCACAGTCTACAGCAGACACGTGATCACAAAAAAAAAAAAAAAAAAATTTCACAACTTGCGAAGTAAACATAGTCATGTTATTCAGCACACTGTTGCATAGTCACTAGTCGTTCTCACTGCAAACATGTGTTACCATACGTTGGCACTCTGCAAACCTAGTCTGGAATCCTTCTGATACCGCCTCTTATATTAATTATATCGAGCAAGGCAATAAAACCTCTAACACACAAGAGGTTACTGAATGCAGAAGAAAAACCTTATTAAAAATCGAGAACAACAAAAGAACAAAAATTAAGAAGACGATAACGAGGGACATTGCAATTGTTTACGTTGACTAAGAAGCAAGAATCCTGAAGAGAGTTCCACAATCAAGAAGTGCGATAGGAGAAACTGTTACCCTAAAACTTATAATTACATCTTACCAATTCAACTGAACATTTGATGAGACCCTGTTGTTAATCTAGTACTGCGCTTAAATGCATACAATCTAGGTACCACAGGTGGGAGTCCATTCAAACAATTACCATTAAAGTATTTATAAAAAAGGCAAAGGGAAGCTATGTTACGGCGGTAGGAAAATTTCTGAAGCCCAGATGCCAGGTCACGACCGATAATGTTGCAGATTCGTCTTTGTATTTTATAAAGAATCTATAAATATAGGGCAGGAGCACCTGACCAGATGGGACAGTAACAATTTAAGCATGGACGCGTGGTAGACTTATAAGTATGTAAGATAGATTCTGTCAAGAAGAATTGTCTAGTACAACACAGAGAACCAACTTTCCTAGCATCGACTGTTATCGAAAAACATTAGTCGCAAGGAATCACTCTTCAGGAGGTTAGCATCAGCCATGCTGTTGGAAGGTAGAAAAGATTCTCTCGAGCGATTAATAGAGAGCAGTTTCATTTTGGAGCCCTCCCCTCCTGTTTCTTCTTCATACATTCATATCACACTCCTCGTTGTGCAATCCTTTAATCTCAAGCCTTGTATTAGGTGAACTCATATTAAAAAGAGAATTGTATACTATTTTTTACCAGCGAATAGCATTCTACTTTTTTTACCAGTGAATAACTTTCTTCTTTTATGCCAGTGAATAACATTCTACTTTTTACTAGCAAATAACATTCTACTTTTTTACCAGCAAATAACATTCTACCTTATTTCCCAGCGAATAAGACTCTACTTTTTTTTACCAGAGAATAAGATTCTACTTTTTTGAGCAGCGAATAACATTCTAACATTTTTACCAGCGAATATAATTCTGCTTTTTACCAGCGAATAACATTCTACTTTTTTACCAGCGAATAACATTATACTTTTTACCAGCGAATAAGGTTATACGTTTTTACCAGCAAATACCATTCTATTTTTTTACCAACAAATAATATTCTACTTTTTTTACCAGCGAATAACATTCTACTTTTTTACCAGCGAATAACATTCTCCTTTTTTACCATCGAATAACATTCTACTTTTTTACCAGCGAATAACATTCTAGGTAGTAAGGGATATATTATGACTGAGATGAATTGATTTCTACATTTAGGTCACCAAACAAAAAAAAAGAAAACAAAAAGTGACTGTGCACAGTGGACAGATAGATGATGGTGTGTGTAGACCGATACTAAAGTAAACGAACCTTTCGAAAAGAGGGAAGTGTAAGGCAGAGAGAAATAGGAAGGACCTGAGAATTCATTTCGGAGACAATTGACAAAAATGAATATCGTTTGAATTATTCATTCGGCAAAATGAAATTGGCTCTTGCGACGGGTTTGATTTATGATGGGTAAACAAATGTCCTCTTGGGGTTGGGGAGGTAGGGAAGCGGAAGAGGCATCAAAGTGGCAGCCACAATGACTTGTTCAAACGATGAAGTCATCAAATCACACGATAATTACGCCATTCGCTTGCCGTCAAGAAAAAGGTATTGGTCATTTATTTATTTATTATATTTGATGCATTTGGCCGTGCAGGAAAACGAAATTTTGACCGAATATTGTAACATCCTATAAAATCACCACGAAACAATTTCGATTATATATATATATATATATAGTCTTAAGATGTGCTATATTTATGGGATAAAGTGCTCAATATCAGAGATAGAGCGTATGTATAAAATAAAAGTGAAGTTTCAACTTAGAGCGGCAACATCAGGCATGACGATTGCAAGCATGAAACAGACTGTCGCATCTAAGTGTTGACTTCTGTGTTCACTTTTATACATATATATATATATATATATATATGTATATATATATATATGTGAGTGTGCGCGCGTGTGTGAGTGTGCGCGCGCGTGTGTGTGTGTGAATGTCAGTGTATCACTGTGTCACACTTTTTCAACTTTACATCCAGAGGCCATAGTCTAACATATCATACCTTTTGGAGGGTACCTCGGTGTGGTGTAATGGTTAGCAAGCATGTCTCGCTAGATGAGTTGCGACTGAAACGTGAATTCGAACCTCAGTAGGTGCTCCATACTTTCGGCTTTGTGCCACATCTAAGCTACACTTTGAAAATAACCATGATAGGGCACTCCGAGGTGGGGCAATGGTTAGCAAGCTTATCTCGCTAGAACAATTACAACTGAATAGTGATTTCGATCCTCGTGTGGTTACCCATACTTTCGTCGTTGTGCCACATCTAAGCTACGCTTGGAAAATCACTATGATGACATTTTGGAATCAGGCCGACTCCGTGACCAAATTCAAAACCCGAAATCCTGAAATTTTGGATTCCCAAGTAATTTCATTACTGCCATTGCTTTCGGCGATTTTTTACGTGAATTTTTGCAATGAATTTTTCTTTATTTATTTATTTATTTTTTTTTTTTTTTGTACGATAACAATTTTTATAACATGAAAATAAATTTGAGAATAATTGAAATTAACCGCGAAATCCAGCGGAAGTCACCAATGAAATAAAAATAATTGGTTTGACCGAAATTAAGGACCTACGTGCATCATTTCTTTTTTAAATTAAATGGCGACAGAAGAATTAATGCCGCAATCAATTTTGAGTTCTTGTGTAGTTTATTGTTGCCTATCGGATCTACTCCTCCCTACTTAATGTGATGAAGGCCCAATGAAGTACCCTCTGCAGGAGCTAGCTTAAATGCCGCCAGATAGATAGATAGATAGATAGATAGATAGATAGATAGATAGATAGATAGAATTATATAACTGTTTCATATTTTCAAATTATTACTAAATTTTCATCCTCTTATAATTTATTCTGAATAGTATCCTTATCACTGTTGATTCGGTCCGACTAATTCAATAACTCATGGAATAATGAAAAAGATTCACCCTAAAGTTCAGAAAACTCTATTATTTCATAAAGACTTAATGACTGCTCTTTTTCTAATGATATTAAGACTAATTTGAACTGAATTTCATATTCTTTTAAATATCTCGGAATATTATCTGAAGAGGGACAGTTTATCTATAACACCGTGTCTGTCTGAACGAAACCCAAATGTTGAACATAACCTTATGGATATTTATTCACTGCATTGTCGTTATACTGTTAATGTTGCCATCTCTCACGATGCTGTGTTCGTAAAAGACCGTCTTTTCTCCTCATATTTGTCAAGAGATCTGCATTATAGTTTATGATTTAAAGTTGAAGAACAGAACTTTGATCCTTGGTAACTTTGATCTGTCAGAGGTCTGTGATTGTCGAGAGCTCTCCCCTTGACAAAACTACAATTGCGATGAGATGACGCATCTTAAATCAAACGGGTGTCTTGATTTCCAGCTGACTCTCTGATCCGTTGATTGAAGCTCAAGAATCTACAGTTTCAACTTTATTTTGTTTTAAGCTAACAGCAAATAATAATAACTGCATATGAAGATCAATGACATAATAAATAAACCGGATTAAATAAACACTGCGTCATGTTCCTTAATCTTTTCTTTTTCATTCTCTTTCTTTACTTTTTCTTTTTTTTTTCCTTTTATTTCTTTTTTCTTTTCTTCTTTTTATTTCATCTATTTTTCTTTTATTTTTATTTTTTGTTCTTTTTGTTCTTTTTTTAATTTTTCCTTCTACTTTTTCCTTTTTTCTATTTTTTCTTTCTTTTTTCTATTTTTTCTTTCTTTTTTCTATTTTTTAAATATTTTCTTCTATTTTGTCTTTTTTCCTTCTCTTTTTCTTCTCTTTCTCCCGTCTATTTTTTTTTTTTTTTTTGCTTTTTCTCGTTTTTTTTGCTTTTTTTTTATCCTTTTCATTTTTCTTTCCTGACTTTTTCTTTCTTTTGTCTTCCCGATTCATGACTTTTCTTCTTTTTACCTTTTTCACTTTTTCGTTTCTTTTTCTTTTTTCTTCTCTTTTTCCTTTCTTTTTGTTCTCTTTCCATTTTGCTTTTTTCCCCTCTTTTTTTTTCTTTTTGCTTCTTCTTATCCTCCTCCTTTTCTTTTTGTTTTATTTTTCTTTTTTCTTTTCTGCTTCTTCTTATTTTTTCTATTTCTTGTTTTTTTTTTTTGCTCCTCCTTTTCTTCTTCTCTTGTAAATCGGAATAAGTTTGCTGTTGTAAAGCTATGATCGCCAACATCCTTAAAGAATCTCTCTCTCTCTCTCTCTCTATATATATATATATATATATATAAAAGATATATATATATATTAAGATATATATATATTAAGATATATATATATATTAAAATATATATATATTATATATATATATACGATATATATATATATATAACAATATATATATATATATATATAAATATATATATATATATTAAGATATAGATATATTAAGAAATATATATTAAGATATATATATATATATATATTAATATTAATATTAAGATAGCCTGATGTGCCTTTTAGCCGATCGGTAAAAAGGCACGTCAGGCTATATGAAGGTTCCATATAGGATACAGGTTCGAATCCTGTCGGAGGACGAATATTTTCTATGAAAATTTCTCGGACATTCAGGACGGTAAATGTTGTTTAATACTTTTTATTATAAACAGAGCATTTACTTAGATATTTGTACGTATAAGAAGAATGTATGAACATAAACTGTCTTAATATATGTATATATATATATATATATAATAGAAATATATTCTCACTATATATATGCCAGTCACCAAATGGAATCAACTTATAGATTGCAAATTCATTAATTCCAGCTATTCGAGAGGAACGGAATAATACTACATGAAATGATAATTGCTCTAACCTAGAAAACGTTACTGAATGAGGAATAAATAAAAAACAGAGGTTGTAAAATAAATGGTAATCTTTATAACATCAATAAAATACAATACTCGCCAGCGACGTGAAGTACGTAAACCACTGCTTATGGTGGACTACTTATACAGAATACCTCCCCACTTACAATAGCGTCCAACGTATTTATGAGGATTATGACATACTAATTACTGCTCATATGTACGTTTTATTACAATAATGTTAACCCACTTATACAAATCCATATATATACAGGATGTCCAAAAATAATGTGTAGACGCTTTAAATATTAATAGTTAATAATACATTTTTATATGGATGAAAATCTGCAAAACAGATGGATTGGAAGAAGAGGGACTGTTGAATACCCTCCTAGATCACCAGATTTGACACCCTTGGATTTCTTTTTGTCGGGGTTTCTAAAAGACAAAGTTTACAGCAAGAAACCTGAAACAATTGCTGAAATGAGAGTAGCAATTGAAGAGGAATGTGCTCAAATATCAGAGGAAATGATACTAGACGTTTGTAGGTCTATTTCTTCAAGATATGGAAAGTGTATTGAACAGAATGGCAATCAGTTTGAGAAATTGATGTGAACTCATCATTATATGAACATTCTGCCATTGCCCCAAGTAGCTTTTAGCTTATTAAATTTTCTATGTTTTTGTATATTTTACTATCAAATTCTTTAAATGTGTATTCTTTCTCTTGTATAATTCTTATTTACAAGTCAAAATACATAAATTGAATAAGTTATAACGATTCAAAGCGTGTATACATTATTTTGGGATACCCTATATATATATATATATATATATATATGTGTGTGTGTGTGTGTGTGTGTGTGCGAGAGAGAGAGTGTGTGTGTTTAAGTTCGATTTTATTGTGAATATTACAAATGAAGATACTAATGTTTATAAAAATATTTAATAACCTCTATTGATTCCTACAATTTCAAGTTTATAGATGCCACGTTTGCAAAATTCTTTGTTTTGTTGCAGTATTCGTGACCAACGAGTGTTAAACCTCTTCTCTTGATGCCACCCAACCTGAGGCCGTCCAAATGGTTCTGTAAACTCATAAACAAGAGACACTTAGAAAGAGTGAAACCAACAGAATATGAAGGATGAAGCAATTCTTCCCAACCGTGCTCTTCTCAAAGACCTTTAGCCAATCGGGCGGCGTGAGGACGAGAATTATCGTGATAGAGGATTGTTCCATTTCTCCAAAGCTGCTTTCAAACGACGATGGTTTTGGCAGAAAAATCGGCGCTGATTGTTTGATGATTGTCTAAAAGTTCATAAAGTTCAATTCACCATACTCTCAACATGATCATCTTTGGATGGAGTTGTCCACATGATTGTTGAGAAGGTCTATCTCCGCGACTAAGCTACTAACGATGGGGCTTAACATTATGGTAAACGGTCTATTTCTCATCTCCAGTTACAATCCTGTCGAAAATAATAATAATAGACGATTCCTTGAATAACCTACCATACGCTCAACATGATCTTCTTTGGACGAAGTTCTCTCGGTTGTTGAGAAGGTCTGTCTACTCGACTGAGCCACTGACGACGGCGCTTAACATTATGGTAAAGAGTTCATCTCTCATCTCCAGTTACAAACCTGTCCAAAATGGGTCTTTGAAGTTCGTGTGTAAGCAATGGCTAGCAACATTAGACACGTTGTCGGTGATTCTCTGGAGACGGGTCGTGCGGGACCCATTTGCCAACCAGAAACCATTCCAATCCGTTTCAATTCGCGTAGGGCTCTCGTAAGGCTAATATTAAGTTTCTCACAGAGTTTCCTAGACGTAGTAGCAGAATTTTCTGTAACAGAAGCTTCCAAATTCTCTGAATCTAGTCCTTTTGAATGATCCTCTCTCGACTCGTTCTCTAACAATTCATAATGGAAGATTCCTTGAATAACCCACCATACGCTCAACATGATCTTCTTTGGCTGAAGTTCTTCTTTCGGTTGTGGAGACGGTCTGTCTACTCGACTGAACCACTGACAACGGCGCTTAACATTATGGTGAAGGGACCATCTCTTATCTTCAGTTACAAACCTGTAGAAAAAGGGTCCTGAAGTTTATGTTTAAGCAATGACTAGAAACAATCGATACGTTGTCGACGATCCTCTGGACACGGGATATACGAGACCCATTTGCCAACCACTGATACCTTTCCAGTATTTTCAACTCGCGTAGGGCTCTCGTAAGGCTAACATTAAATTTCTCACAGTACCCTAGACACAGCAGCAGGATTTTCTGTAACAGAGGCTTCGAAATTCTCGAGTCTTTTTAACTGATCCTCTCTTGGCTCGTTCTCTAGAATAAAATCCCATTTTGGAAACCACCTACTCTACTTTTATTGACATCTAAACACGTGACACTTAGAAGGAGCGAGACTGCGAGAGTATGGCAAATGAAGCAATTTTTGTCAACCGAGCTATTCTGATAGATCGTGCAGCGTGACGACAGACATTATCGTGATGGTGGAATACACACTTTTTGTTGACTAAATGATGTACGTTTTCTGTCCAAAGCTGCTTTCAAACGACAAAGTTGTTGGCAGTAGAATATCAGCGTTGATTGTTTGATTGTCTAACAGTTCATAATGGACGATTTCTTGAATAATCCACCATACGCTCAACACGATCTTCTTTGGCTGGAGTTCTCTTGGTTGTTGAGAAGGTCTGCCCACTCGACTGAGCCACTGGCGTCAGTGCTTAACATTATGGTTAAAGGACACATCTCTCATCTCCAGTTACATACCTGTCCAAAAAGGGTCTTTGAAGTTGTTATGTAAGCAATGACTAGCAACAATCGACACGTTGTAGGCGATCCTCTGGAGTCAACTCATTCGGGACCCATTTGTCAACCACTGGAACGTTTCCAATCCTTTTCAATTCGCGTAGGACACTTATGGTTAACATTAAATTTCTCACTGACTCTCTTAACCGTAGTGGCAGGATTTGATGCAACAACAGCTTCCAAATCCTCTGAATCGTATAGAACGATCCTACTATGGCCCGTTTTCTAGGCTTTTAGGAAACTCATGTTGTACAACATTTCTGACGTGTTCTTTAGTTGTGACAAAAAACAAAGGAGTCGACCGTAGCCGGGATCATCGAATCAATGTGAACGATTGTTTTCCTTAGTTGCACAGTATTTGCTTCGCCGGGAGTACATACAGTTTTAAATTCAAATTTCCCTTCCTTTTAGACCTGTTGCTACCTAGGGATATAGAAGCCCGTCTATCCTACTATTTACCCA